GGGGCTAATTTCTAGCACAAAGAGCAGCATCTTGCCTCATTTCGATCTGAAAAGAATATTTTGTCTGATCCAGGGAAATATCTATAAGAAAAGTAATCGGCCCGGTGAGGATGGGTTGACAAAAGACAGATCTGAGGGATAGAAAACAACTCCATCTTTGTTCAGAATAATAATGGAAAGTCTTTATGTGACCATTTTTGGGAAATGCTGGAGAAGCTTGTTAAACATGTGCCTTTAACTACACGTTCCCTTCAGTCAGATACCATCCTGATCAATGACAACCCGGCTCTGTGAAAAATGATGATGGCTAGAGCCGCTGTAAATGTTTTAGCTATCAACACTGCTTCCTCCCCCGTCACCCAACACCACGGCCAATCCTTCAATGACTCTACATCATGGCCTCGGCCTGGTTAAATCCAAGCCCATCTTCTCCCATCAGTAATTGCAGATGTCTGCTTGTGATGTGTGACTTCCAAATGGTTCCTTCACTTCAAGCTCATCTGTATTAGTTAGGTGGGAGCACTAATTCAATAAGGTGGTGGAGAAATGTTCTATAATGTTGTGACACATGAGCACTGCAGGAGGCCGGACTATAGACATCCCCTAGGTGTGTTTACATGCACTGTAATAATGTGATTAAGGACCAGAGGAACACAAACTGTTGCAGCTATCATGTTAACTCTTTAAGTTACATCTTATGAATCAAGGTCATAATCAAAATATGTAAAAATCAATTAACAGAGCATGATTACACATCCCACTCTGAAATTACTCGTCTCTCTTATCAATAGAGTGAATGCAAAGTGGTGTGTCTGAAGTGATGTGTTTGAAGGAAAAGCATCAATTAATACATTGCATTAGAGAGTTCTTTAAACTCACTGCTTTTCCGATTAGATTTTCTTGTTAATCTTGTAGGCTACCTCACATCCTGTACATTAACTATCAAACAACTAATATAAGCTAGTGTTGTCTTAAACATCAGTCTGGGTATTCGTGTTAATTGGGTTACGTGTATGTATGTACAAATGTATTGTATTTTATGCACATTTTTACTTTCTACAATAAAAGCTGATGGAAACAACTTCTCAAATACACTTTGATGTTGCTTCAAGATTACATAAGCAAAAGACTAAAAAGAGCATCGTTAGTGTCGGGAGGGTACGTAATTGCAACTTCTTTAGCTTCAGTTGAGATTAGGAGCCCTTTTGTAGGCCACCCCACTTCTTAGATCATAGGGGATGATAAAAAAAAAACCCCACCACAGGTATACAAATACACCCCAACAAAAATGCCATTTAATTTAGGAAATGGGAATGAATTAAGCACCATGATATATCAGAAGTTTTGGTGCTCCATTATAATGTGTATTGTTCTTGCTGTATTGCACCTTTAGCACTTATGCTAACATTAGTTATCTTATGTTGAACTCTGTTACTTGACGAAACACTGCAGATGAATGCTGGGCAGTATCTTGTACTGTTGACTGTACTGTTTTCCTTCTGCCTGTATGGTATGATAATATATAAACTGTCACTGGTGTTGGGTGTCTGCCAGTGGAAACTGTCCTTGCAAGAAAAAACACAAAATCGTTGTTGTTTTAGCAAGTTCCCCAAAACAACATGTTGATGATCACATTGGAAGCAAAGAAGGATGTCAGGTGACGTTATTATTAAGCAAGATTAAGTCAGACTTTAATACCTTTTCCTACTGCCAGTCAACGTTGGTTTCTTTTAAGCATGACTATGATCATTGCCTTACCCACGTGGTTATTACTGAAACCTAATGTGGGTTCCCTAACAAGATCCCTAACCAAGTTGTTATTGTTCCTTAACCTAACCAAACCGTAAACATAGTGTTGTCACATCATAAAACTGATTTACTTTTCCACGGTGACTTATAATGGCAATGGAAGGCACAAACAAATTATGTCGTCCTGCTCATAGGTGCATCAGATCAGTCAAAGCTTCTAAAGGCGCGTTTTGTCATTTCATTTGGAGGACTTGTGTGGATGATGTCTTTGATTGTTTTTCCTGTGTATGTTGTTGATTTCATGCCCACACTGTAAACCAATGTTCCTTTTTAACTAGTAATAAATCAATCAAATATATAAATTAGTCACCTAATTGTTGGAAAAACATACACACCAATTCACATTTTATTTTGCCCACATTTCCCTCCTACAAATCGAGCACCTTAAAATGATTTGAAGAGTACGATTCATTGTTTCTACTGAATGATAAACAATAAAAAATAGAAGATCCAACTTTCCACCCCACTGTCCCCTTTGTTCATTGCGTCTGCCCCAGTGGTCAAGGACACCCATATCAGTGGACGTCAGGGTAGGCCCCATCCATCAGAGGGCTATGGGTAATGGAATCAACCGGTGACAATGATCATCAGCACTGCAAACAATGGCCCATAAACATCCCTTGACAAGTGGTCAAATGTGGGAAAGGCGAGGTGGGGGTTGGGCGAGGGTCTGAAGGATTGTATGTGAGCATGTGTGTGTGTGTGTGCGGGTTTGTGTGTGTGCATGTCCACATGTATGAGTCAGTCAGACTGCGAGAGAGGCTGTAACACGAGGTGAAACGATGCTGCAGAGTTGCAGAGAAATGGTGAGGAAGATATCTCCCTGGGGATGATGCGGTGGGCCAACACGCTACCTCTGAAAACAAATGTCCCCTGTGGGTCGGAGTTCAGACATGCCTCAGCTCATTTTAAGAGTTTGCTTCCCTTACTTTCTCTCTATCTTCCTTTTTCTTGTTCCTTTAAGATGAGTTTTTCCTTATCTGAGTTTTGTTTTATCAGATCACTTGCAGTAGTGAGGGCCAGGGATAACTGGGGAGAAAGATTTATTTATAAACCTTTGCCTCCTTTTTAATGAAAATTCTCAGTCAATATAGGAAATTACAAAAAAGAAAACTCCTAACCTAGATAAAACACCTCTAGTTCAAGCTTAAAACTGCTTGCTTCTGCCAAAATAGTCTAAGTAATACGTGTCCAATCATTGTTTCCCTTCCCCTCTCAGTCAGCGCTGAATGAAACCCAATTAGAGAAGTTCAGGATTTCAAAGAAAGCATAAAGTAGAAATTTTCCCCTCTTTGTGGTAAGTTTTCCATTGCAAGAAGTAGTTGTTGCTTTTGTCAAGCTGGGTGTTTCGTCACTCCATTTTTTTTGTCAGCTGGTTTCTGTCTTTGCAACACACACACACGCACGTTTAATTAGCCATCATTTGTCTCAGCTTTCCCTCGTTTCTGCTGTTTATCCAAAAGTCAGGAATGACACTGGCCAATTAGTGCAATGAAATATTTTAACCCTCTCTAACACTTGGAACAGTACAAACCAAGTGGGATATGTGCTCGAAGCAAAAGTACTGGCATCCACATGCCAGTGTATGTGTGTGTCTGTGTATGTGAGATAAAGAGGGGTTGAAACAAAAGAAAACTGTGAATGAGGAAATATTCACATATGTTGTAGGGTGTTTGTTAAAGACATGTTTCTTGTTTTTCTCTATTATTAGGTCACAATTATTTGTATAATTTTATTTCAGGCTCATCACAGAAAAGAAGGCTTTGCTGTTGGCACAGAACATGAGTGAAAGTGTAATAGAGAGAATCATCAGTTATGTTTTGTCATTAGTGGCAGACTAAATTGACCCTAAGATTGGCTTGCTCTTCCAAAATCCAGGGCAACAGCTCGATAATGGGTGCTGTAGTGATTTACTAATTGTCTTCAGGATTCAAATTAATAATTGGCAAAGCTTTAGCTGAAGTGCACATCTAAGTACTCTTTGTCGTTCACTTGTATCTTTCGAAAAAAACCCTGCAAAAGGCAGCTGAGACGATATCATTAACGGCCTCTCCAAATTGAAACAGTCATCAAGAGTGTCTTTAAATGTCTCCGGAAGCTTTTTGTTGAGTGCAAATGACATCTCGCTCATTTTGCTGGTGGCTACATGACTGATGTGTTGAATAAGAAAAGTCCGTTTTGACGCTTTTGAAGGCTGCGGGTTTGAAGTATATGATTCTGAAGTGCCAGCATATGCTTAGTGAGATAAGTAATTTGACACACAGACATCACAGCCTGCAAATCTTTCGTCTGGCTGCCTTGAGTGTCCACGCCGGGCGCTTTTTCAAGAACACTTTACAACTGTCACAACTGACTGTCAGCGCGCAAAGGACACACGCAAACAAGCTCATTTTGAACACAGATTAAGACAGCTGTCATATCAAAAAATTGAAATTCATCTAGACTAAAAATACCATTAATTCTATCCCAGGCGTTTTAAAATTTAATTTGCTATCTAAGAACCAAAGAATCCTCCTTTTTAGCATCAGTTTGTTCATTAGAGTAATTAAATGAGCCTCTCATCCTCGGAACGAAGCTAGATTTAAAGCAGGAGTTATTGAAAGCAACACAGCAATAACATAGCCGTTCACATGACAGAAAGGCTTCTTCTGCTGTTCTTTCTCCCCCTGAATAAGACACTTGACTGAGCTATAAAACATAAAAACACTGCATATATATGTGTGTGTTTGTGCTTACACACAAACACATGTACGTTCACACACACGCCAGCTGGGGTGGGTGGGGGGTTGGGGTCAGAGCTGCAAGCGAAGTCGCTGACATTGTGGCACTTCTTTGGCAGCATTGTGCAGGTGTCGTCCGCACACAGGCTTCTGAATAAATGGATCTGAAATGATTTACCTAGGGTATCTGCCACCTGAGCACAGACACATGCACTGCTCCCCACACACACACCCAACATGACATACACACACAACGCAAGCCTCTTTCCCTCTCTCCCTGTTGTTCATACAGAGGAGCTGACGCAGACACACACCAACACCAAGGGGGAAAAGAGAGAAATCCGGCAGAGCTGCATGCTATTGTGTCATCAAATTATCTAACAAATACAGATATTGACCAATGTGAGTTTTACCATCCAGTTTAGACTCTGATTGTGTGATCTGAGTTCATTTATACCCATTTGTTTTCAGACATGATGGAAAATACAGCTGAGGTCACACTAAGAATAGCCGATTCCCTGACCTCAGCTTCTCCAGCGATGTCTGCAACATTATAAGGTGAAATATCCACTATTACATGCTAACGACAAGAGACGAGTCTACAGAGGCAACGGCACACAGGACAACTGGCTCAGGGAAAGGCATCTGGATCGCAGCGGCTGTTGTCACATACAAGCCACTTACAATCATCCTGGAGAAGAAAACGTTGCTTTGTTTTTGTGATAAAAAATGCAGCGCGTGTGAGTTAATAAATACACTGTGTATGTAAAATGTTAACAATGTGCAGCCATAAAATCAGCTGAATATAAAGCTTTGTGTTTGTGTGTTGTTCCATTCTAAAATGATATAACCATCTTGAGATGAACATGATGCCGTTATATGTATATGCCACGATGAACAAATGAATAGAAGTGCAGTACAAACAGTTTCTTGACGATGTATGGTAAATACTGTGAAACAAAAGATGCAGTTTTTCCTTTTGGACAGAACTGTTAATTTTACATGGTTAAGATAGCGTACACATGAGCATCTGTGATACATCACAATAACAGGGCTTTCACAATAAACGAACAAGTGTGACATTGCGCAGAGCAAGCCCATTATTTCCAAAGGAGAGAGCAGCTGCCTTAGCCATAGTGGCCTGCACTTTCCTTATTTTTCACCCGGTTTTGCAGCCAAAGTTCAAGTAAATTGAACTTTGACCCCCAATACGCTTCGCCTCCATAGTGCACATCCAATGGAATTCTGTCATTAACAGGAAACAAAGTTATGATCAATTTCTCTGAAGAGAAAATCTTAATTTTGTGCATCTCCGAAGTCCCAAAATTATCCAACTCTACTCTCCAATTCTCCTGGGATTTGAGTAAAGAGAACCTCAAGCATGACAAAAAAAGATCAGAAAGGGATGGGTATACCAGGTTAGAAAAGGTATACTGTGATTGTTTATATTTCAGCAGAGTCCAAATCTTTGTTTCCTTTGAATCATTTCATAAATAATGAATAGGTTATAATAACTAAAATGAAATGAAATGGCAATTCAGTGCGATTGTCAGACAAGTAACATCCCATTTAACTACTTTGGAAGATCACTGTAAGTACCACGATTCATTCTATGGATTACCTCATGAAAACTATGCACAAAGGACAATGTCTCATGTTTCTAAATGATGCTTATAGGTCAGCAGATGGCATGGAGTGTTATGGACCCCAGACAACACTTAGCGAGGAAAGAACATGGAGTGATGAGGGCAGTTTGTGGAAATATTTCAAAAAGTTAAGAAATTTTTTCTTCTCCATAATACAGATAAATGTTTGTCCTAACAAATGACTGCCGCTAAAATTAATGTGAGTGATTTCATGCTAACATGACATCTAATGAAAGAAGAATTCAACAATCCCTAACAAATGTTTGGACAAATAGTAAAATGTTTTTACTGTCATGTTCCAAGTACACAAACGGTTAACAGTTTGACTGTCCAGCTCTAATGGGAGACAGGTCCCCAGCAGATGGGCAAAAAGTTGACACTGACGCAAAGGAGAAAAACAACAAAGTCAAGAGGTGAAGAACAGAGGCATCAGAGAGATACATCATCATACCACCTCTTTGACACTCTGTAGGGCCTGACCTTACCAGGCTGCTGGGTTGTCAGAGTGCCGTAATCAAGTCATAGGCGGGGCTGCCAGACCTGCCCTGGTCTGAGAACATGCACAGCCCTGACTTCATCAGTCCAGCTGATACGTGTGTATAAAGAGGGTTGTTAAAAGCGACCATCTCACCTTTCTTCCATATTCAGTTTAGGTTGTTTTTCACACAGACAGGTCGAATAGAAAAGGGAGGTAGGAGAGATCTTGTTTACTCTGAACAAATATACTAATTGAAAATAAAATCATACATTTAAATATACAGTATGTCTAATGAAATGTTTAACTTGCTTCTAGGTCACACAAAACACGGAGTAATACTTTGATATTGTGTTGGCATTTTGGCTAACATTTATAAATTACAACAAAACAAGTATCTTGCCCAAATCAATATGACACTTACATTGGCAAAGTCCGCTACTGTACTAACAGACTTGTAGCTTTATTAGAATGCCAAGAAATAGATTAGTGAATGGGTTACTAGCTACATCTTCACCCCTGGATTTTTCTAAATACAGTAGTACTTATTCCACTGCTCTCCACAAAGTCCAATTTAAAAGTGGCATGAATATCATTAGAGCCATATTAAAAATATTGTTGACCTTTCCGTGGTTGTGTGAGTGGACATCAAACCCAACTTTTTAAAAGTCTCACCCATGTAGAGTGCTATTAACATATGCCGGTCTTAATAAATTATCTCTGTCATATTGTAAAAAAAATGAAGCACAACGCTACAATTTTATGAGCCTGTAAAGGTGAAGGCCATGCATATTAAGTTTTTCATGCACCGTGAACTTTTGAGGTATGCTACGATAGGTTATATAATTAATTTCTGCAGAGATCCCTGAGCCATATATCCTCAACATTTTCCTCATTCTTAAATGGTGATAGTCCTTTGGTCTTGGAGAATGTAAAACTGAGGGAATCACCAATATCATCGTGCAATAAGGTTCAAAGTTCAACTTTGACTCCAAAACAGATTAAATGACAGATACAGGAGGAGGTAAACCACATTCTAAGGAAATATTTCAGAAAATTACGAGAAGCAAATGATGCAAATGTTGTCATATCTTATCAACAGCTATTCATCTGTTATGAATGGCATCTAAAAGTTTACCAGGGGTAACAGTATTAGTGAACAACAGTATTAGCAGTTGATTCTTTCCCTTGTTTTTGTCATCAGGGTTGAAGTTTTCAGGTCAAGCGTTTATTATTTTCCCAGTGGGACCAATATGAGAACATTTAAATAATACAAAAACTGTTTAAAAGAAGGTCATTGTGAAAAATCTATTCAGTGCATGAAGCAGACATACCTCACTCGCCAGTCTTACAAATCTGTACCTGCAGATTTAATTTATTTGCATTCAAATGTAGAATACAAAATGTGAGTGCACAGAGAAGCTGCCTATTTGCTCAAAGCCCTCTTCACATTGTGGTGGTTTACTGAATGTAATCATCTGGTTTACTGATGGAGTTAATTTAAACCTGCATGGCATCCTCTGCATGCATAAGAATGTGCAATCATTTTGGTCCATTTCTTGTGATAATTGGTTTCTGGGGCACTTTGTCATATCTTAACCTCACTTTGCTTTGTCTCATCATTTTTCTTACAACAATTTTATGTGAGGAAGGACATGATTTCAGGCTCAAGACTCGTTTGAGTTAACATCCCACAAAGTGATTATGATTACTGAAATCTGATTTGGGCATCTTTATCAGTTTATATATATTAGGGATGCAATGAATGTTTGGCCACCAAAATTAATCTGCTCAAAAAAGCACTTTCGGTGTTCGGCCTAATAAGTCAGACCGAATAAATTTTACCAAACAATTACGCTGACACGTCGGCAGTGTAGAGTCTGTCCGAGAAAGATGCAAAAGTCACAGTTTGCAGACACTGTTCTGCTGAATTGTTTCCCAGTACATCCACTCGATCTGTGGCTGACTTCTTAGAAAAGGCAACAAATGGTCTGACCCGCTTTGAGTGTTTCTATCACTCGTTTATGAGAAGGGGATTAAGCTAGCCGCACCTACATTTGGAGTGCACATGTATTCAGGCCTTTATGGTAAATTCACAGAAAGGACCAGTGTGAGCTGACAGGCAGGTTAGTGACTTTATCCTGTCATTTTCTCTCTTTACAAAGACAAGTGTTGCAGTATGAGAGTCCAAATTGAAGAGAGGCTGTGAAGTCTTCATGTTGCGCGACACTAGAACCACATAGCAACAACATTATTTTTAAAATTGGGTTGGACTTGATAAAATTAGCGCGAGGATACACATGTGACAATGTCTGGTTTTCAAAGTAAGGTGTCTATACAGGAAATAAGATTAATTGGATTATGTTCACAGAAGTAGTTTACTTCATCAGATCCTCTCTAGTTTCTCCAAATCTTATGGAAAACACTGAGTAAAAAAGCACATTTTGACTAATTAATTTATGCAATGGTTAAAAAAAAACAAATTGGCAAAATAAATGGAAAAAATGTGAATGTACTTAATTCATTATATTCGGTTTCTGCTTTGGCCAAGAATTTTCATTTTGGTGCATCCCTAATATTTTTATATATATATATATATATATATATATATATATATATACATACACACATACATATATAAACACACTCACACACACACATGTGTATGTGCACATTTACACATTACACATTTTAAACTTGGGCAGACCCAATCAAATCAAATCAAGCACCATGCTCTATATACACACACAGGAGCATTTTTCCATCTGCCAAAACCATCCAGAATAGTATGGCTGAAAGTGTACAGCATACCAACAGACCAAAGGCTTTTGTTCTCTAAGCAGTGACACCCTGTTGTGATTTTCATTTGAGTCACAGTGTGTAATACTAGATAATTTGATAAGCTCCCTCTCCTCCTCACTCACTCTCTCACACACAAACACCTTTCCTATTTTAAACTCCAGCAACCAGTGTAAAGCTGATGCTTGCCTTAGCCACGTCATTGCGAAATTCTTGTAAGTTTTCAGTTTCAGCTGCCGTACCAACCGTCCTGCTGATATAGATGTTTTAAGTCAATATGTTGTTCACTACTTTTTAATCCCACCGCTTTTAGGCAAATGAGTGCAAATGTTTGAGTGAAAAATATATATATATATATTTTATTTTTTTAATGGATCATATTGCTAAAATTTCAGATGGCACCATCCTTTGGAGCGGGCACATCCAACTGGTAGGAGACCATTGCTAAAATGAGATACATAATTTTGTGACAATGGTTTAAACGAGCTTATAGCGATGCTTGTTCAAGGCTTTCTCTGGCACTCACATGTTTAGATGATTTCTAAACAGAGTTATGGATGTCTATCCTTGATGGACTGAACACCGCTGTAAAGAGCAATTGGAACAAGGTGTGTATGATGTCTGTGTGTTTGGACTAGATGGAGTTACTCTGAGACCAAGTGGTGTTATGGTAAATTGTGTCAATCAGGAGACATGGTCCAGGGAGGACCAGTTGTATTAGTTCAGAGTGTATTATGTGTCTATATCCAACTAATGTCTTCGTAACCTAATACCCCTGGTATTAAGTCAATTAGTCTGTGCTTGAAAGTCCTCAGGGAGAAGAAACACTTGTCGTCCCTTTTCCTTCCTCAGGTATGAAGTTTTGCCACACTCAAATATTTCACACGTCT